AGAGATGGTTTGTACACGTGCAGAGGTCAGATAGTAGATATGCTGGACAGACGATGGTAAAGATGGAGCTGCCAGGCAGGAGGAAAAGAGGAAGATGACAGAGACAAAGGAGGACATGAGAGGGTTGAGATTTCTCCTGAGAGTTTAATATTTACACTGAGGTGACTTTTGCGACAACATGACAAATTTCTCATCTTTGACTGTTTGTTCTCTGTGTCGATGATCAGACTGCGCCTTGGAGCAAATTGTCAAATACGGAGAAACCTACTACATCCATCTTAGCAACATTAAAGGACCCATCACCCTGGAGTTCAGGTATGGTCATCAGAGTTAATCAGTACCAAAGCTGGAATCATTTTCTTTACAGATTGTTTTGACTTAAACAAGAACAGTGTGATGAGAAGATCCTGAAATGATTAAAAACAAAAGCAAACATGCCATAAAATCTAGAAAAAGGGAACACAAAGCAGAAATCTGGAGATAACAGATGGGTGGGTGACAAAGGCCAAAGGGCTGTATACACAGAGGACTGATCACACATTAGGAAACAGGTGGGGACATCCAGGGAAACATTAAGGAAAAGCACAGAAGACATACAAAGAAAAACATGACAGAGAGAGGGGACGACTAGAAACACACAAAGGAATAACAATAAAACACAGACAGAAGCTGCTCTCCAGCTCCTTCTGTGTTACATCTTTTATGTGTTGAAATAAGCCAGAAATGAATTAATAAAGAGAAGAAGAAACAGGTCGGTTAACATCTCTGGAAACATCCTTAATCGCAGTCACTGTGTTACTTTATCTTTTCTGTATTATTCTGATTTTTCACCGTTTTTAGGCCCAGTCCGTCTCAACTTAATCAGTCAGAGACGCAGTACGCAACCGAGCCTCCACCTGTGGTGCTGTACGACCAGACGGGTGTGTTGGCAGAAGAATACATGAAACGCCTCAGCGTGTCGGAGAAGCGTGTGGTGCTGCACTCGGTCAGGATGACAGATGAAGGCAGCTTTACAGTAAAAGACAGCGAGGGCAAAGTCAAGATTCGGACTTGTCTGAATGTCAGAGGTAAGTGGAGATCAGAGCTTTACAGCATCCTGTCGGCTTTAATCGATCACTCAGTGTCAAAGTGAGTATTTCTGTGTGCGTGCAGATGCTTTGTGCCTCTGACTTCCTGTCAGTCAGCAGCTCTTTTCTTTGTATTTTACTTAAATCTACCACAACTCTTGTTTATTTTCACTGAAACTTATTTGCACTTCATGTATTATTTTTTCTGCTCGGCCCACCTGCAGTGACTCTGTGCCCCCCAACTGGGGTTTGCGTGTGTAGTTCTTAACCACACAAGCCTAAGGCTACACTTTTAAAATTTTGCCTGGGGAGAAAAAAATCCAATTTAGTCAATAAAGTAAAGTGTCAGGTAAAAATACGTAACCTTGGGCTCTATGCATGAAAATAACTTTTGATGCACAGTAAGGCTAATTTAAAATATTGTTAGTTCAGAGTGTGATTTGAAATAGAGATTATAAAGTTTTTGCAATATTTTTCTACCTAATCAAAAGTGACAAAAAAGCCACGAGACAATCGTTCAGCTGGTGTTACTGAAGTCTTAACTTCAGCTCTTCTAATTTGTTCCTGAGGAAATAAAAAGCACTCAATCTTGTGTTTATTGCAGTCACAGTAGTAACAGATGGCCTCATCAGTTGTGATTGGCAGTCTCCAATTTTCTCTTAATAAATATGTCCTGGAACCAGAAAAAGGGTCTCTAGAGGTTAAGTAGCTGAGTAGCTCCATGTGCCCGGTCATTTATTAAAGCCTCCATAGTTTTTAATAAG